TAATCGTTTTAGCTTTCAGACATATTTGATGGAGCAACAATAAAGTAATTTGTCCATTTTTGCAAGTTATTAGTGCAGCTGACAAAGACCTTCAAAATTGTTGCGAGTGATGTCTTGAGTCTGATTTCAGTTGAAAAAGACCTTAAAATCTGAGTTTAGAAGAACAATCAATTATGGAAGAAAATTTGCAGTCCTAGCATTGGCTGCGAGATTTGCATGCTAAAGAAGGAAATTAACTACAAAAGCCACTGATGGTTCCTGCTCAACTGCCACTACCTAATTGATAGCAGTGACTGGCTTCGTCTTCTCTCTAAAATAGATTGCATGGTAAAAGTAACAAATGTGACTTCCAGTCGTTTTTCTTACTAAATATAGCAAGACATGGACCTCTCTCTCTCTCTCCCTCTCTCTCTCTCTCTCTTATGTGCCCTTTGAACCTTTTTTATGTATGTAGATGAAACTTGAACAAGCTGCCTTTCTGGAATTGATAGCTGTGCATTATAGTATTAGCAGCTAGATTCATCCAATATATACTCCTTCACATGTCCACTCTACGGCGGAGAAATTATTCTGTGCAGAGTCTGGATAGGAAGAATTGTCTGGATTGCTGCATATTTACTGAGTATTTGTTGTGTATTTGTAAATAATCAACAAATACATAGTAAAAATACAATAATCATCAAAAAAATAACAAATACTTACAAAATACTCCACGAATACTTACAAAATACGCAATAGTATTCACAACTGAAAATTATTTACTGAGTATTTACAAATATGCAACAAATACTCAATAAATACGTAGCAAATCCGAACGATTCTCATTGTTCGTACTCCGCACGTAATAATTTCTTCTCAGCGTGGGTTTCTTGTAAACCTGAAAATGTACTACATAGTTGAACCCTGAAAGAGCCATTCTAGTCAGGATCACTCAGATTTAAATGAACGGTTGAGGTTTTACACCCACAGTAAAGATGAACCTGCAGCTTTAACAAGTCGCTAGCATTGAATTGAAACTCACTTTACATTTAACATTTGAACTTTGTTCAATATTTAGGTTTCATTTGAGATAATTTTTTTATTGTTTTGTAAAATATTTTTTTACTATAAAAATTAAAAAAAAATTGTACTTAAAAGATGTAGCTTAAAAGCTCCGAGATTAGTCAATTATCTGATCATAACTTGGAAATCAAGTAAGATTTGTGTAATATATATCACTCACGGTTATAGCTCCTATTATATATTCTATTAACATTTGCTTTAGATTGAAGATAGGTATGGAGATCTATCACTATGCTTTATAATATGCTAAATATTATAAACATTGGTTGCACTGCTTTTCTGAAAAGAGATCAGCCTTACCAATACAATTTCAAATTTTCAAATTATAAACAAGATTCTTTTCTTGTTTTGGTATGACTTCTATCTTCTTGCTGTTGATGTAATTTGTGCACCAACTTACGACTTTAATAGAGATGTTACACATTAATTTAGTTAATCATATCATTATTATAATGCTAGTATGATGCTTGATAACGCTTAAATTGTTGTGAGATTAGTTCGGAATATGTCTAGGCGTGTTAATATTTGACATGACTCGAAAATCCGATTCGAATTCGACCCGAAATTTCCGGGTTAGGGTCAACCCATTTGACAAACAGGCCAGGTTTGGGTTTCAAATTTGAACCCGTACGAAAATAGGGTCGGGTCCAAGTCAACCCGCTAACTCGAAGCTGATCCGGATCTAACCCGATACTCCCGCCTCAACCAATCTGACTTATGCTCGCCGTAAAGTTTTGAACTAGTCAATAAAAGACTTCTTTGCCTCCTTTGACGATGTTCCTTTTTGTAAGGTCGGAAGTCACGACAGCTTGTCGTTGGTTTGGAATCGGAAGTAACGACAACGAGAGGGTCTGGTTCGTCTGGACTTCGGTGGGAGCTCCTTTGTGGCGAAGGTAATCATCTTCGAAAGGAGCTGTCGGATCGGAAGACTTCTTCTCCTCCTTCGACGACGTTACTTCCTATCAGATCAGAAGTCACGAAAACTCATCGTTGGATCGGAATCGGAAGTAACGACAACGATAGGAGGGTATGGACTTTAGAGCTCGCTCACTCGTTGCAAAGATAACCATCTTTGAAGGGAGCTGCTGTGTTTGAAGACTTCTTCGCCTCCTTCGACGGCGTTCCTTCATGTTGGGTCGGAAGTCAAAACAGCTAAGAATCAGAATCTGAAGTAACGACGATGATGGGAGGGTTTGAAGGGAGCTCGCTCGTTGCCAAGGTAACCATTTTCTGCCATTCGCGCTATTCTCGCACTGTGTTTTTGTGTCGGATCGGGTCAACCCGGAAACCCGATAGGTCAGTTCCTGGTTGCAATTTCTGACCATTTGTAAAAATGTGTTGGGTTTGAGTCGTTTCAAATGATAGCGGGTCAATATCGGGTTCGACTCGAACCCGACCCACCACCTGATTTTGGCACTCCTAAATATGTCACTGGGAGACAATATATCTATAGGAGACACCAACGATTTGTATCAGTAATATATAGGATAATGCATGTTCAAATATAAAATATAGAAAATTTAAAAATAAGGCTAGTTGCTATTATGGGTGCAAATGAGTCGAGCCGAGTCTAACTAGAGCTCGATTCGAGAGCCAAATCTCAAGTTCAAACTTGAGTCGAGCTCAGCTCATGCACTAAAAACGAGCTCGCGCGCAGTTTTGCAATCATTCCACGGCCTTCCACGGTTCGCAAGAGCAGATGCCTTCCATGATTCACCCGTGCTTCGCCTACCACCAGTTCACCTTCCTCCTTCCATATTTAAACAAGCCGTTCGACGATTAATCGAGCCAAGTATCATCTGGATCAAACTTGAGCTCAATAATCCAACAAGCTTGAAATTCTTTTGGAGCTCGAAACTCGATAATCCTGGCTCGCAAGCTCGTTAACAAGTTGAGCTCAAGCCAGCTGGCTCACTTACACTCCTAGTTGCTATCATTGACCAATATGATTTGTAAAATTAATTCAATTAAATGTGATTTTTTCTAATTTTCTGGATGAAAATAATTAAGTTCAGAAATTATATAAATTTATTTCATAAGCTATATGGACTCCAATTTCAGAATATATATATATCAAGACAATACGGTTTGATGAGGTAAATCCAATAGCACCAAAATCACACAAATCTAAGCAATGTTATTATATTCTACATGCACTTCATGTAGGTTAAATTTTGTAGTGTTTGCTGTCAGTCGTTGCCCCATACTGGTCTACGGGTCAAATGAGACCATCTTGGAACCTCTCTCAACAAGAAGAGTCAAGATTTACCTTCGCATCATAACAATGTAGACCAGTTCAAAGCTTCCAAAATCATTAAGATCGCCACGGACCATTAAACCATGAGTCATTTTTGGTATAAAGACATCCTCATGCGAAGAATATTTCCATAAAAAAATGTGTAAGTTATGTTGTTGTTTTCATGTGGCCCCTAATTTGGATCTGGTATTTTTTGGAAATATGGGGGAAATTATTGGGTTCGGTCCGTTCAGATCGCGTACGCCATCCAGAGCCCAATAAAAATGCGTCACATCACTCCCTAATCGATACTAACCAGTACCATGCTCGGTACTGCTCGGTACCGAACTCGGTACTGGATAAAGTGGCTGCACCTGATTCGTCTATGGACGGTAAGTTGTGTACGTTGTCCGAACCCAATAATTTCCTCTCCCATAGGCCTTCGTTTTTAGAACCATTAGACATTGAGAGCTTAGAAGAGATGTCCTATGTTTTCCAATCAAAGACCACCACCAAGGGTGACCATCAACCACTGTTGTTAGTAGTCGTTAGCAGTCTCGGCCAACTCTAGCCGAGTTGGCCCATCAAGGTAGCCTAAGGACTAGATCATCCAAATGAGAAAAGAATGATTTAGGTTCTTTCATCCAATGTGTCGATTTAATAGACTTGGACGAACTGGGTGGAAATACTGTAACCGACCCAGGATAAATACTTGTTGTTGCTGCTGCTGTTTGGTACAAATAATACTCCTAAAAGGTTTAAATGTCATATTTCTTATATTATCAATAGATTTAACTGAGGATAAATCCTAAATTCATAGGAGAATTTTTTTTAGGGGAACAGAGTATCTATCCGCTACCACCCCTGGAAGGATGCTTGGCGACCTGACTAATCCTCGGCTGACCTAGAAGAGGCACCCACCCCAGAAACTTCCTGGCCCGCACTTGATTGGACCCAACTTAAAAGACGCTACCGCTCGAGGGTAATCGAGCACGAGTTGGACATTCTCAACCGTACTCACCTACCAAATCAAGCAAAACATCGATACTTCCCATGGTAGGATATACACTTTATATATTTATATAAAGTGTTCGACTCTTTATTGATTATTGGACTGAGTTTACAGTGAGATTTGGATCTCCATTTTGTGCCGTTTTGAATATAAATTTGACTTGAATTAAACCATATAAAACTTGATCTCTTTGTGCTGGTGTTTCATCTTTTTAAAATGCATTTGCTTCAACATATACTTTTTTTGTTCTGACGACGTTTTCTCATCATTACAAATAAGAACATGAAAAGAGTAACAATTGTTCCAGAAAAAAAAAAAGAAGAAAGAGTAACAAATCAATCAAGCATTTTTAACTAAATAAAATAAAATTTTACATTTTACGAGGTCAATAACTTAAAGAGGCATTCATATTTCAGGGAAAAAAATATATTTGCTTACTCACATCAGAAGCACTTTTCATAAGAACAAGCAAGCCTCCCAAGACTTGAAAGTTAGAGCAATAACCTGCAATAATGGCCTATCACAATCTCTCAAATAATTAATATCAACTAAGGCTTCGTTTGGGACTACTTTCTTACTGCTTCTTAAAGCAACTTTCTAGTATAAAAATTAAAAATTTTGCACTAAAAACTGCTTTAAGAAGCAGTAAAAAAATCGTCCCAAACAAAGCTTAAATTTAAGCCTCAAGAATTTTTGGGATTTGAATCCATAACATCCACTAGACCCGATTATAAGTACAAATCAGTTATGTGCTCTAGTTTGAAACGATATTAAAAATTCAAATCCATATGAGTCATCAATATAAAATGCACAATTTAACAGATGCTATCTGTCTTCAAAACGAGCAAAAGGTAAAGAAGAAAAAAAAAACACAAGTTTTACGAATCTGCTGTTCTTAATCTTGGCTTGGCTTCTTTTCAATATTTGATTTGCTGAGGATAAAAACCCCAATGATGATAAAAAATGCACCTGCAAACCACTGAAATACCAAGAGCTTTTAATGATGGTTGAGCTCCATAAAATGAAAGAATAATTATATGGTCAAAATATTTGCAAAAAAATAAAATATGAAAAAGAATTAAAATGTAAAAGAAGAAATTAAAAAATATGTCTCACACTCTTAAAAGAAGATACCAGATATATTTTTGAATCAACACCAATATTTTGTCAAATTACAATTTGTTTAAGATAATAAAGCTAAGTTTTATTATAATGACCCTATCAAAAAAAATTCTAGATTCACGCATGGGCCAGAGCCAAATCCATGGTCAAATGTTTCAGGGAAGAACTGCAGGCTAGAGAAGAGACATAGTAAGCGGCCAAGATGGCATTTGCCGAGAAGAAAGTAGATAAATGCGTAGCTGTTCTCCATCTAATCTACATGTGCTGCAAGGGTTCATTATGTTGGCAGTAAATAGAAAACAAGTTTTACGATATGATTATTTTATTTTCAAACATTTCAGCGTGAAAATAAATTCATAATATTCGTGTGGTTTTTTGGAGTTATTTATAGTCTTACAGAGTTAGAAACAAAATCTGATTTCTAACTGCATGCAACGAAATAATAGAATATAGTAAATTTACTTTTGTTTTCAATGTGTTTTCCAACTTAAGCCTACCAAACGGGGGACTAAATGAAAGAAAAAGAAGTTCCTCGTATTTGATGTTAGCAAGCATAAAGAAAACAGCACAAGGGTGCTTTGGCGGAGAAGAAGAAGAGAGCAAAAGTCAAACACAGACCAGAGAAAACGCTAAGGTACATTGCTCCCAAAGATAGCATAGATCAATTTATTGGAAGGTCAAAATTGGATTTAGATTACCATCATACCTGATACGTTATCAAAAATAGTCTTGATCCAGCGTGAATCTCGAGGCATATTCAAGTTGAAAACTTTCAAAATTAAATTCAGGAGACATACAGTCAAACTAAACGTCTCGAAGAGACATACCCAACGACACCAAAATCGGTTCAATCCGAGCCCAAATGGGTCCAAATAAAGGGCCGAAGCATATTTGGAAGCTTCAAAGCATTAATTGAATAATCAAATGATCTCCGAATAAGGCATGCTTACAGTCAAATTGATCGGTTTGACGAGACGAATCCAACGAGCACAAGAACACTTAATTTGGATATCATTAAGGTATTTAAAAGCATGATGAAAGTTCTATGATCAAAGAAAACTATATGGATTGTTGGATGAAGCACTCCTAATTTATCCTATATATTCTTCATATTTACAGGGCATGCAACTCCCAAAAACCTATAAATAGGCCCTCATTCTTCACATTTTGAGGGAGGGAGAGAAGAGAAGAGAGAACTAGTGAGAACTTTCTTGCATTTTCCAACCATCACCGCCGACGACCACCACCAGGTATAGCCACCGATAACAACCATCATCACCGACGTCCAGCATCAGAAATCACCACCATCTCCTGAATACTGTAAAGATCTGACCCTATTATTAGGTATATTTGACCGCATGTGGATGCTATTTTTCTAAAATCCCTTTGGGAAGATTAGGCCCTGTTGTTTGGTATAAACATTATATTTGTGTACTTTTCCTCTTCTTCAACAGTGAAGAAAGAAGAATTTTTTTATAACTTGTTTCATAATGAATTCTGCAACTGGGCCAGGTCCCATGGTTTTTCCCTTATCAGGTTTACCACGTAAAAAATTCTTCTAGTCTTATCATTTTCATGGGTTCGTGCTGAAACTTTGTACAACGTTAAGACATAAAACATAGACTTTACCGACTCAAATTTTCTAGCACACAATAGTACCAAATTAAGGTTCAGGCTTGCTTGGGAAATCAAGATTCAAACTTATTAAATTGGCTATAAAATTGCAGATGCAATAGCCAAATGAGTACATAAGGAGGCTAACAAACCTATTTACCGAGGCTAATCCATAACAGCGGCTTGTAAATAGAATTGGACTGTTTAAAACAAAAACTTCAAATATTTTAATTTGGCCCTATCAAGGTTTCTTTTCAAAATAATTCTCTCTTATACTTATTAATTATGAAACGCCTGCAAAATTTCTACCCGTTGAAACCCACACTCACCAAAAATTTCGACCTCTTTCCTTCTATTAAAATAAGAGACAAATAAAACAGGATAAAACTTGAATCGCATTTCTTACTCCAAATAGTAGAAGAGGTGTATATTTATAGATTCGCTACAAAAAATTATAGAATACTAAAATTAAGTAAGAAATTAGTACAAAATTAATGTGAATAAAAATAACAAATATTGGCGAATTATTAAGGTGGATAATCATCATGCAGTTGACTTAATCAAAGTACACAAACTAGTTGTCAAGGAATTGATGTGTATCTTATAAATTTTAGAATTTTTAGGGTAACCCTCAAGCTGAGAAAATATGTTCATTATTCTTAACTTGAAAATTAGCTTATCGAATTGTGATTGATCAAGGACTTTATTCGGGCTATGTACTAACTATTTGAGGTTTTATCTGAGTGCGTTGTATTTGAATGATACCTTGATCAATTTTTTTCTTTATAAAATGTCTATCAATTTAAACATGCTTAATTCAATCATAATAGACTGGATCTTTGGGACTATTATCACATACCATTATCATTGATTCTTTACTGGGAATATTTAGATCTTCTAACAATCTTTTGAGTCACATTCCTTCACACATTCTAAAAGCCATGATCCTAAATTTTGCTTCAAGACTACAACTAACAACGACCACCTGGCTTTTGTAACTCCAAGTGACAAGGTTTCCCCACACAAATAAGGAATGCCATAGGTGGATTTTCAATTAGTTATGGACTCAAATCAGTCAGCATCAATGAAATATAAACTTGTATGTTTTCTTTTTGAATAATTGACCTTCCCCCAAAATTTTTTTCGTTATGTTAGTAATATGCAGACTGCATAAAGCTGTTCCTTAGTAGAAGTATTCATAAATCAGATATCTCGACAAAGTAACAATTGTCAGAATAAGTATGATCTAATGCTGATATCAGAAGTATCTTGCATGGGACTGGTTTGGAGTTGATTGAACACCATTTTTAGCATTTTCATTTACCATTGACTGAATGGAAGAAGTGTGGAGACAACTAGCCTCAGAATTTCACTGTTGGTAGCTAAGAAGCCACAACTCACTTCCCTGGCTTCTAATTGTATGATTTTCAACACATTTCTTTTGTGTGTTCAAACCTCAAGCAATGATCACACCAGGGCTATTTCTTAAGGGTGTAAACTACTCGAGCCAAGCTCAAATTACCCTGACTTGATCTTCATACGAGTTTGAGTAATCTCACAACTTAACTCATTTATTAAAAAAGAGAGAAAAGATGAGAATTAATAAAGAATCACTAGATATAATGAAGTGAGATATCATATCTAGATATTTTAATAATTTTATACTTAAACTGTTGAATGCTAATATATTTTAAATGTATTTTATATTAATATTTTTTAAATGAGCTAACATGAGAGTTAAAGAGTCGAGTCAAGCTGACTCAATCTTGGCTCGTTAGCTCATTGAGCTCGAAACATGAGCCATTAAGCAAGCCAAGCTTGAGCTGATTCACAAGTTAGCTTGACTCACTTACACTCCTACCTTTGTCTAGCATCATATTTTTCTTTCGACCCTCTCTCCAAACTTAAAGAAAATTTCCCAAATAAATGGTTGTGCAGATTTTTATTCCAAATATTATTTCCTCAAACATCATCAAGATTTTTATTTAATCCAAGAAGAAATTTGGCTATCATATATATATCACAATAAATTTTCAATACTTGATAGCATCTCCTAAGCACTCTTAATCAAGTTCATTAAAGACATTCAACCATTGCCAATATCTATTAAGATTATTATAATATTGAATAACAAATACATCACCTTGTCAAAAGATCGTGAAGGGCAATTTTTATTCCGAGTATCTTGGCGTTATTTTCATTACTTGAATAAATCATTTTTATTGCATCTCTGTTTCTTCTGACACAACATAAGACATAAAATTTTGATCAATTTCACTTTTCATGGTGTTAATGAGCAAATACATAACCATGTTATTTTTTATCGCCAATATTTGATAAGGAGAAACAACTACATTCATGAGATAATCCTTGCATTTCCCACTTATGAACATCATAATTGATTGGGCTCATTAAAAATAGTTTTGCTCATTCAATTTGTGTACTAAAGAGGTAGATTTAAGGATAAGCTTTCATGATTGTAGACATGGCCATGAATGATAGGTCCATGATTGAAAGTGACGTTGGGGGGAAATAACTTTTCTCAAAATCCATTCCACATTTAACCATACTCATAGTTTTTAGAGAGGACCAAAGTGATGGCAAGAAGCAAACTCACGATGTTAAAAGAAGAATCGCAAGGATTGGAAGGTGCGAGGTTAGAACATACGTGCAAGACTTCAATGTGGAAATCACGAGCCTATAGTGAGGCTTTGTGAGCGGTCATGTGAGATTGCAAGGCTCGAGTGAGGCTTTACACAGTAGGGCAACATTGAATGATGCTTTGTGCAAAGTTGAGTGATGCACCAACATACAAGACTTTGAGTTAGGTCAAATGAGACAAAATCATGAGCGGAACTTGTGTTAGGAGATCAAACACTAAATCGCCTAGGTGAGTTCAACGAAGCTTTGAGTAAATACCAAAACTCACTTTGATACAACGTTAAAATATTTATTTCTTTCATTATTCAAAGAAACCAAAATCAGAGAATTTCACTGTGATATTTATGAACTAACAAAGCATAAATATACCAATTTTCCAATGGTTGACACAAGAACTCTTATTCTTTTTTTTTATTCATTCATTGTGATATCTAGAGATCATCCTCTTTACGTATCATATCTGGTACTAGGTGATTTGTGTCAAATATGGACACTATCAAAATTTAAACTGATAAGAGACCCGCACAAAATAAAATAAAAAATTGAACATAAATAAAAAATAAAAATGATAAGCTAAATTTGAAATAACCAAAATAATTAAAAGAGATTAAAAAAGGAAAAAAATGAGAAAAAATGAAGTGAATAGGACTCAAAGGGGACATATAGTAGATTTAGAGAACTCGTCTATGGGCAAGAATAAAACTAACTCTCATAAACATTTGCAACCCTCGAGAACTCACTCGATGAACTGAACTTCGAATGAAAATGAAACCAAGAGAGCTCTTATTTATAAATGGGAGAGTGATTCCCCGTGAGGCCATCTAGCTAAAATCTAATTATATAAAGGCAAAGAAAGGACGGGTGTAAAAACTATGCTACAATCATTATTCATTATGTTCACAACAAGAACTCCAATACACGCGCAAGCGGACATAATGTAAGGAATAAATATTTTGTGTTGGTTTTGCGAACATGCTTGATTTTTAATTAAATTTGTTATGATGTAAATTCAAATCAATTTGTGAATTTCTGTAGGTTTAAATTTTCAACTAAATATCCTAGATTTAGAAAATTATTAAATCATCATTTGCCATGGATTGTTTATATTTTCAAATTTTCATAAAAAATTAGCAAATAATTTTTCAATTGATGGTACTCCAAGCTATGAATTTCAAATATGAATTGTGTGCTTTCATACATCACATCATCCAGTTTCACTAGAAACTGTAGAGCCTCTCTTCTCTATTTGAATTATATTTTCAATGTTAATTGGTAAAGCCTTAACTTCACACAATTATATCAACTTATTGACTTCATCTTTGGAAAAGTAAAGGTTTTGCTTCTTGAGTTTTAAAAAAAAAATTGTGCCAGGGGTCGTTTTTAAATCCCAAGAAAAAGAATGTTGTTTTACTCATTGTGCCTTGAATAGGAAGATGTAAGAACTAGCACTTTACACGTCAAAATGAAAAGGATTACAATAAGAATTTTCAAAAAAACAAGTTTGAAGAAGAGTTGGTGTAGGCTTGATTGAGAAGTTGAAACAATAAAAAATCTTGTGCCATTTGACATATTCTTTCAACTTCAGTCTCATTATATTTGTCCTAATTCTCAAGGCTTCCCAAGTTCAACCGCTATAAATATTAACTTGGGATGTGAAAACTGATTGATACTCTTTGAGTTGAACATAGATTAAAGGGAAAATAGATTTGAAGGAGAGGAGCAATCAAGTGGAATACTTACTCCTATTTCAAGATTCTCTGCTAGACAAAGCATCATAGTAGACATTCATAAGCAATCATATATTATTTCCCACCTAGTGAAGGGTAAAAAAATCACAAGATAAACAAAACACATCTAAGTGTTTTTATAACTAATGGGGCATGATTAAGTAAATTGGACATGTATCAGCCTCTGATTTTGGAGCTCTTAACCACACGAGACATTTTGTAAATGATTGAATATGTGTTGTTTGATGATTGAGGAGCACACATTTGCATAATTTGTGGATTCCACATTTCCACTATGATAAATGTCTTCTTCCTCAGCTTGTTTCTAGACCAACTAAGGCATCTCTATCAGAAGAACACAAAAATGGATATTTTGAATAAGTCATCGTTACATCTTGGAGCCCTAGCAACAAGCCATACATCTGATGTCGGTTTGGCCAAAACAAAATCAATCTTGCCATATGCCTTGGATCTCTTTATGGGCATGGGTGGAAAAATGATAAAATCTTATCATGTAAGCGGATCAACCGCATGGTTTACTAAATAAACTCTTTCCCTCTTAAGTCATTTTCCTGAGTAACTCGAGGTTACTTCTAACAAAATGTGATAAAAACATACTGCAAGTTTCAAATAGAACAAGCAATCTATTTTATATTTTCTTTATTAAGCGCGCCTAGAAAGTATGTTATCTGGGAACAAAGAGTTTCAGGAATGTTTCTTATTCTCATCCGCCCTAGATAACATCTTCAAAAGAAAGTTTTAGAAATAATAAAGCATCTATATATATATATATATATATATATATATATATACACAAGTCTTGAGTTTTTCAAAGTCTTATCATCATAAAATATTCTTTAGGTCAAATGTAAGTTTCAAAAAGAACAAGCAATCTATAAGAAGTCCTGCTTACTTAAACTCAATGAGGCAATAGGTAGGAAGAATCCAATAACGCCCTCTCTACCACCTTAGAGAGGCAGTAGACAGGAAGAATCCAATACTTATTTTGTAAGATATAGCTTTTGTCTCCATTAATTTTTTGAAAATCTGTTTTGGTTTATTGACAAATGTGCTTAGAAAATCACCATTTCGCATGTCCACATTCCCCGTGACTTCATGTGCACAAAGATCAATTTAGGGAGTAACTCATAATTCAATGTGAGAGAAATGATGATTTATTTCATACAATACAACGAAAGTATGATTGAACCAAAAGAAACCCTAAAATATCAGCCCCTATAAAAAGGAGCCATCAAGAAAATTAAATTGTTTTTTAATCGCACAGAACATTTTGTCTATGAATATAGATGCAAAACTTACCCGAGAAGGAAGCGACTCCTGAAAGAGAAAAAACCCTGCTACACCTGAAGATAAGAAGTTAGTTGCAAAGTTTGTAACTGTAGCTTGGAGAGATGAAAGCGCTTTAAGGCTATTGATATAGCAACCCCACATTGTCACATTGAAGAATAAGACTAGGCCATATCTAAGAAACTGCAGGAAGAGCATAAATGTCAGTCCTTGCATTAGGCCCTCCTCAAATATGAAGCCAAAAGGCAATCAATGGAATAAAGATGGTTAAATCATTCTCCCTAATAAAATTCTCTTTGGTTTTTGTTTTGAATGCATTCTAAAGGATGTATAAGGTTAATAATCATAACAAAACTACAACAGTAGCGGATTGTTATTCCATATAAAGCACCACTCATAATAACCAGCACAAGGTTGCAAAAGGAATATATAGTTCATAAGCCACTCATGTTCTAAAAATCCTCGAAAGTAAAATCCCATTAAAAGATTTAAGTTGTAAATACCAATAGTCATAACACATCCATATGAAGGACATCATGATTCAGGTAAATTTTCAGTGCCCATTTAGTTTCTTGAAGTTAGAAAGCATTTTTCACAAAAAGGTAAACTTTACTAGAAATCATCATTTGGTTGGATATGGTTAGATTGCGTTTGAGCTCCAAGAAACCCTTAAAGTAAAGATTTAATTTTCACACATAAAATGAATGAAATTGAAAATATGTTTTTTTCCAAGACATATATCAACAACCACCAACTATTTGACTGAGTGGTATTGCCTTTGATCTCTAAAGTGGAGGTCCAATGTTTGAAAATAACAGAAAATCAAAAACTTCTACAAGCTACCAAATGAGCCCTACGAAAATTACAGAACAATATAGCAAGATAAGCTATCAGTTAAACAAATAAAGCAGAATTAGAAACTACCCACAGTTTAATCAGAAAAAAGCAACCCAGTAAACATAACTCATCATATGCAACAGTGACTCATCTAGCTTGAGCATGAAAACTCTGCCAGGTTTTCTTAGAAGGCTCCAATCATACTTGATTTACTAACACAATTAGGGTTTCTCGCAACTCCTCACCTTTCTTACATCGATATCTGGTACACTTGTCTGATAAGAAGAGTGGATAGGATCAAAGGAAATGAAAGCAAAAGGCGTCTCCTGATCAAAGCGAGCTAAATCAGGCCAGAACAAAATTAATTAAATCATAGGTTTAAAGTGATGGGAGACCTGGCTGGAGGATCCGATATATAGACTGTGGCAAATAATCGTGCAAAGGATTTGGAAGGAGGCAGAAGAATGGAGGAGAGGGTAGAGATTAAGTAGTTGTACCAGCGAAGCAAAAAACTTGGCGGAGACTGCAGCCAGAGCGGCATTAAGTCCGGCGGCCACGGCCCACGAGTGGCCCTGATGATTTCCCCTAGCCATGGAGGCGGGCAAAACCTCAAACGTGACTAGTATAGCGGCTGGCCTCGCCGGACTCACCTCGACGGAGCACGGAGAAGCTTCGTTGCCGCAAAGTTTCGTATTTATTTATATAATTACTAGCATATTTCAGAAAAAATAAATTATACTACAAAAATAACCGATATATATATATATATATATACAATCACAAATAAATACATTTAAAAAATAAATGCTTCAAAAGATTGTCATCATACCTTAAAATCAGTCCTAAATATAAAATGAATTATTTAATATTTTTTAATGTTAAATATTCTATATTATTAATATGAGAAAGAGAATCTAGATATTTAACTCTTAATGTGTAATCATCAATGAACTTTTTAAAATTTTCAATGTTATCACATATGTATTCAAACTGCTTATTTGATTTTATTTTCATAATCTATCAAAATGAACTCCATTTTCATACATTTTCTTTCTCATAATAAATATTATTCATAAAAATAATTAAAAATCACTTTAATCATATATTATAAAGTTACTTAAACATTAAAATTGCTAACCATGGCTATCATTATTCGATTAAACCACGTCGCCAATTTCAATGATATTATCACATTCTTCTTATCCTATTATAACAAGAAATCTCACATCAAAGAACAAATAAATCAAAGAGATTATGTTTCTTTGTGTTTATAGCAAAATGTAATTTGGTCCTAAAAGACTTTTGGGATATTTGGTCGAACAAAAATATAAAAGATATATTTGTCTAAATTATGTGTATTGTGATGGATATAGAGTCCAATTTTGCTCTAATAACTAATGCTAATTAATTAAAATAAATAAATTAGTATTATTTGTGAATAAAATTATTATGCTTAGTTAACTTAACCAATTACTAATAATAATTATTATGGATTTATCTTATATTAATTATGACCTTAATTAATTGATTTTTGGTGCATAGAATTGTTAATATTTAATTAAATAAATTAGATAGAAATGCATTAATTACAAAATACAATTATCCATAATAATTAATATTAACTTAAAGAAATTGATATTTGATGTATCATCAAAAAATTATCTTGATCGGGCACGAATTTCAAGGCAAAATCAAGTTGCAAACTTCCAAAATTAAATTTGGGATCATATGAACTCCGATTTCAGCAAACTTATAGTCGAACTGAACGTCTCAAGAATACGAACCCAACAACACTGTACCAAATTTGACTCAATCATAGCCCAAATGAGTCTAAATTAAGGACCCGAAGCTCTATTGAAAGGTTCAAACCACAATTTGGATTATCAAACGGTTTCCAAACATGACATGCTTATAGTCGAATTGAACGACTCGACGAGACGAATAAAACAAGCCTAATATCATGGAATTCTGACATCAGTAAGAACTTAAAATGTCTAGAAAACAATTCACGATCAAGGGATTCAACATCAGTTGTCCATCCAAACCACTCCCCATTTAACCTTGATCTTCCTCCAATTTATGGGTCATGTCACTCTAGGAAATATATAAATATACCACTTCTTCTTCTTGAAAGGGAGGACACCCCAAGCAACAGGACAAGAGAGAGATTGGAGATCACTCTTGCCTCGTTGCTCCTCCTCAACCACCGACTGAGGCCCTAACTTTCGTTGGGCCAACGACATAAGTCAAAGTTCCTCTAGACTACCGAATAACACCCGAATTTCCCTCGGATCACCGCCTTACGACTATAGTCTTTCTGATCACTATCTTCCGCCGGCTACAGCCCTTTCGACCTCTGTCGCCTACTGCAGTCATTTCGACCTCCCTTGCCAAATAACAGTCATTCAATTCGGACCCCCACACTCCTACCAACTATGATCCTTCCGACCTCCGTCGCCTACTACGATCCTTCCAACATCCTTTGCCAGATAATGGCCTTTCTAACCCCCATCTCCTATCGATTATGGTCCTTCCAACCTCCGTCGCATAATACGGTTCTTCTGACCTCCATCGTCATATAACGATCTTTCTGACCCCTATCTCCTATCAACTATGGTCCTTCCGACCTCTGTCGGATATTATGGTCCTTCAGACATCCATCGCCATATAACGATCTTTCTGATCCCTATTTCATGTTGACTACGGTCCTTCTGACCTCCATCGTCAAACAACAATCTTTTTTACCCCCGTCTCCTTCTGATTATGGTCATTCCGACCTCCGTCGTCTGCTACAGTCCTTTCCGACCTCCATTGCCAGACAATGGTCTTTCTAACCACTGTCTCTTGCTGACTGCGGTCCTTTTGACCTTCGTCGCCTACTACGGTCCTTCCGATATCCATCGCTAGACAATGATCTTTCTGGCCACTATCTCCCATCGACTATGGTTCTTCCAATCTCCCTCGCTAGACAACGATCTTTCTGATCACAGTCTCCCGCCGACTACAGTCTTTCCGACCTCTCTCGCCAGACAACGGTCCTTCGGACCACCGTCTCCAGACTACGCTCTTTTTGACCTACGTCGCCCGCCGACTATGGTTATGCCGACTAAATTAATATTTCAAAACAAATTCTTCAAATCCCACCATGTAATATGATGTACATTTTACTACATCAACCCAAGGCCATTCCCCCAAGGAAGGGCCTCATTTGTAATCGATTGCAAATAATAGTGATTCATTTAAACTGGATTAGACCCCGTGATTTTTCCCCCATTTTAGGGGTTTCAATGTAAAAACTCTTGTGTCTCTTATGAACGCCACACCCTCTCTTTTATTTGTTTGTTTGCTGGATCTTCGTACAAAACTAACACGTTAAACATTATACTTCTCTACCACCGCAAATTATTCCAAGATGCAAAAAAGTTATTTATGGGATTAATTGATAAAATAGAAATCATTGTATTTAATGAGATAACTAAATTGTTAAATAACAATTAATTAGGATATTGTCTTAATTATAGTTTAGTTAGTTTAATTAGGAATTATATAGGTTAAGTCAATAAAATAAAATAATATAATCTTATAAATTTTTAAATTCTGAATTAAATAATCCAATAATTTATTATAATTTAATTAAATTTAATATTTATCTTATTAAATAAATTTTCATAATTTATTCCTCCATATAAAATCCTACTTATCTGGTTATCCTACTTGCAGCCGAACAGCCCTCAAAATGTAAGCCAAACCCAAACGGCATCTTCTTCCCCAGTCTTGTGACACTATCGATCGAGTCATCCCGCTACTTCTACCTGAATGTTCTTCGCGCGTTTTACTGTACTGAGGGAGGGATTCTACTCAGCATCTTATCCTCGGTTCTTTCTGGAGGATAAATTTGAATCATACACTTGGCAAAATTCTTGAGGGTTAAGTGTGGTTGAATCTACTTTCGTCTTTTGGTTGAATGTTTGATGTGAATTTCAAAAATCTCAAAAGTTGAGGAGAGAATGGCAATATTTGACGAAGAAAATCTAGAAAGAATCGAGTAAAAAGGGGAAAATCAACTGCGAGAACAATAGCGGGGGTGCGCCGATCAGAAGAGAGAGAGAGAGAGATTCCTCACTACTTTCTCTCTGGAATAGCTATCAGAGGTGAGCGGTTTTGTGTTTCGTATTTGGATTTTCAGGAGCTTTAGTCTCTCTCTCTCTCTCTCTCTATGTGATTTCGACTTGCTTTCCCTGAGGAGGGCGATGTTCTGCTATTTTATAAACTTATAGTTTTGATTTTTATTGACTAGCAGATATTTTGCCCCTTTCTTGGCTTTGCTTTATCATCTGCCTTATTGATCCGATCGATAATGGATTGACCGATGTACTGACTTTTCAGTTTAACCTCATACTCATTTTCTTATTCTTGAATCTATGAAGCGATAAGATGAACGTTTTGGAAATTGGATTAAAACTTGGAATTGACCTTGTTTGTGCATGCGATAAAGGCGAAGATGCTTGGAAGGCATTTGTAAGTACAACTTTCGTTGTTAACAAGAGATGGGTGCATTAGAGTTCTTATTTGCATAGGAAACATTTCAGGCAGCTGTGAATTGTTGTAGAGGTTGCTCCAGAGTTGGACTCTTTCTCAAAAGTGTCTCGGGTACCTTGTGTGAATTGAGTGTAGCTTGTTTAAAACCCTGATTCAACAGATGCATACACATGGAATCCTTTAAAACGTCTGTGTAAGTTGGACTTAGACATGCAATTGAAGATTTCTAAGGAATATTTATACACAAAATGGTCTATTCAAGATTGGTTTTAATTGAAAAACTATCGAAGATTTAATAATTATGATAAACTTGGTGATAATCTGTCATGCTTAGTCATCAACACTTTCCTGCCCACCAATAAAGAGGCTTGCTGGATTTGGGTACACTTCAATAGTATTGTAACGAAGTGTATCACATTTCATAATATTTGATTGGAATGATGGGATTTGCATCAAATGAATATTAGATGGTTGAAGATAAACTTAAATATTTTGGATATTTATAATGAATGGTTTAAAACACATTGATAAGATTGGTAAATAAAATGAACATCAAAGTATATGTAGAAAATTGGTAGACCAAAAGGTAATATGAATAGAAGTTGTACAGAAAATTTTGTGTAGAGTTGGTTTAATTCAGACCCGAAATACTTAGTATAAGGCTAATGATGATCATTGAAATGATGATTGATCAAGGAAATCTATATCTAGCTTATTTTTCTCGTAATTTTTATCTTGAATTTTTTCCTTCATATGATGGTCGGGAATGGATGTGACGCGATGATAAGTTGACCATAAGATATAAAATTTTCCATGAATTTTGACAAATTTTCTATTTCACATTCAATTTTTCCTTAAGTTTGTATCCCTTAAATGAAAACTTTGATTGCTTTTAATTTTTATATTGGTTTGTTTCCTTAGTCTGATGGCCAGTAATGAATATGATGTGATCATGTTAAGTTGAACAATAAGATCTCAATGTAGGTTTTTTCATGCATTTTTGTTAACTTTTATATTTCACATTCAATTTTCACTTTAAAGTTTGTGTTGTATCCTTTCCTCTGTCATCTATTTTCTTACTTTTGCATTACTTCAAATGTACATATTTATTCTACTGTCTTACTATTTATAATATTTTACAATTATTCAAATACTTAAAAGCCTATCTCCTTTTCTTTTTTTCCATGAGGAATGGATACTTTTGAAGGCGTGGGATATCTATATTGGATACTTTTTGGGCGCTCATATTTTAAGTTCTCCAATGCTCAATATCTGACATTCTTTAATGTATTGGGGAAAATTTCTGAAAGAACAGTTGGATTCTGTATGTATGTGACAAAGAAATATTCTATTCAAAAATTTGAAAAATACAGTAATGTATTTGAAATTTAGAGAAATTTGATATGCATGGTAGTAAAGAATGTATCTTTGATGTTTATGAGACAATTATTTTTTATTCTCTTCCATTTATGAACAGAATGTGTACGTGCCTAGTGTCCCTAGATAATCTAGTGTATCTACTATTAGTCACTATTATACATCTATTTTTGTTAATTGTTATCATGGACGCACGCACATCATATATTCTTGTTAATTGTTATCATGGACATGCACGTGCATCATATATTTTTAGCACCCTGGTATAACAAAATGCCCTATTTTTTAAACACTTTATTTCTCATATGTCTGGATAGTGTTTGCTTCATTCCCATTTGTGTCCATATTTCATGGCTGCCATGCAGCCATGAAGAAGTTTTTCTTTCTTATATATTAACTGCGTCCTAATAAAGTCTGATAGCTAGATGGCATATATTCAAAAGCTTTAAACAATGCTTATGTTAGGTTAATTGCAGTCACTATGTTTATCAGATAGGAATATGCTATTGCTATCAAGATCGATGCCTTTTGTCTTATACCAACTATCTTCTGAAAAAGGCAAATGTGGACTTTATTTTTACTCATAGGTAAGTTTTCTTTTGAATGGAATGCTTGCAAATTCCATGGATTCTGTTAGACTTGGATATCTAGGATATGAAAACTTTCTTGGTAGTAGAGCATATGGATCATCTTTCTTATCAACATCTTCTGCCTGATGTTAAAGTCAATTAACAGAGAATGTTTTTCAAGCTTCACTTCATCCTAATCGTCGAGAAAGATGGTGTTGAGAAACAAATGCCAGGCTATTGATTACATTCTCTCCTTTACGGCTTAACTTCCGGTCGTTCTATTCTATCAGTTAAGATATGAATGAGCCTCGGGTAGAGAAAGATAAAGCAAAGCTTAGCGAGCTTTAGTTGGTCGACCACTACATAAGACGATTAGGGGAAAGCTCAATTTCGCTTCACGAACCTTCATCCATTGCTAAGCCAAGGTCCCATGTCTCCGAGTCAATTTGTGCTTTTTTGAAGAATCTTGCAGTGCTCTCTTGCATTAGTTGGACAACTCAAAAGCTCTGGCTTGAACTACACTATGGCCCTTTGTGCAGTGGCATTTGCTTTCCCAGTTGCCCGCCTTTTTCTCATTAGTTTGAGGCGTTGATCTTGGGGTACTTCCCCAGGTTCAACACTCAACCTGAACTTCACTTATTAACTCATTCTTTGGAGACACCGCGAGTGTTATCTATGCCTTGAACAAGAAAACATCCACACTTTCTTCTATAGGGCCTAGATGGTGAGCGATCCTAGTCTGCTGTAGAGAACAAGTAGCAAGCACACTTGAATTCCGACTACCGATGTCAATACCTCTTACGACATATTGTGGCGGCATGATGCACAGACAAGGTAGAGGAAGAGTCCTATGAAGTTGTGATACAAAGTGTATGCGATTTCAGCAAAATCAGGAAATGACACAATAAATTAAGGAAGAAGAACTCACAAGAACTTTTTTTTATTGCAAGATATATGGAAGAAAATAGCATGATACAATTGAATTTTCAATTGGAGAGCAAGATCCGGCTATCCCAAACCCCTAGCCGTCAGTTAGAGCCCACTCAAGCTAAGCAAAACTAATTCCAGCTAAATCAAGCATAGTATGAAATCACCCCATAGTTAGTCATAAGTAGGCTCTCCTAATTCTCTCCCAAATCAACCCCTTTCTCTAAATAATTCCCTCTCAGATTTGAATTCAAATTAGATTTATTTCTCTTATTAATTTTCTCTCAATTTTAATTAAAACTTTCCTTAATTAATTGCCTCTCATGGGCCACAGAAAGTTGGTCGAATTTCCTCTTGGCTCCCCTCTTGCTTCCACCCAGCCCTTGGTTGGTTCGACTCTTGCTGAATCAGCCGGTTGGATGAGTTTTGTCACGCCCTGGAATCTAATATTGAAAGAATTGCACCTGTTTTTCATTTTAGCCATTTAACTAAAGCTTACCAATTTCTTATTAACAGTGGAGAGAATTATGCATGTTGTCCGGAGCCTCATATCATAGGATCATTACCCTTTCTAAAAATATGTAAAAACACGTAATGAGCATATATCCCAACAAGTTATCAAAATCTTACAACTGAAATCAATGTAAGATAGAAGAGAACACTATGCTATAAATCATATAAAGAAATATATGCATCAATATATTTATACCGATTATCTGTATGAATAATCAATTTATAACACATTACATCTTAGTCTATTACATCATCAATCACGATATTAGTAAATAGTATCAGTGTTAGTTATATCATTAGTAACAATATCAATATCAATATTCTTAGTATCAGTCACAATAGCAGTAACAATAATAGAAATCACTAATAAATAATAATTATCAGTATCATTACAGTGTAAGCTATAATATTAGTAATAGTAAGGCGTAATCAATGATAATAATCAATATCAAAATAGAAGAGGGTATCTTGAGTTTTCATGTACCACATGCAATCAATTATTTCAGTGAATCAGTGTTCTATCAGATTATCATGTGAGGGTATTTTGCTTTTGCACTTATGACTCCCAATCAATCGCCCTTTATGACTCCCAATCAGTCTCCAACTCCTTATGACTCACATCATTTAATCACCTGAATTAATAAAGTAGCACGTGGGATTATCATATCATATATCGGATATTAATCAGTACATCATTTCATCAGTATCAGTAGTGTATCCCAGTACATATCACTCATATCAGAACATTTCATTTTCAATATACTTTTTCACTACTCATTCACAAAAAAATCTATATACACAAATTTAATTGATGAAAATGCAATAAAATCATATCAAATCATTCAGAATGATCAAATCTATAATATATCAAAAATTAAAAAATGAGCTTACTAGATCAGGAGATAGTGCATTTTTTGCAGATTTAAGAGAGATGAAATCCGTAGAAATTAAAGCCATGAAAAACACGAGTTAGAGATTAATCACTTATAACATATATAACAAAATTCGTAAAATAAATGGCGTGCAAATTCAACCCAAAGACCTTTATCTCTCTTTCCTCTTCTTCTCCTTCTCCAATTTCATCTTGACCAAGCAATCAAGCGAGAGAGGTGGTGGGGTGAGACAAATATTTATAATAAAAATATATATAAAAATACTGTTAGTGGCCTAGCACTATAGCGTTTTACTTCAGAATTTTCATGTTTTTCAAACAAATTTATTTCACGCTTTTGGTTATTATAGGTTTAGGCTGCCCAGCCCTCCTGCTACTCCTGCTTATCCTACCATATCAATACTCTCCCCCCCAACCAAAAAAAAACACCTTGCCCTCAAGGTGGAAAAAAGAGAATTGTCTCCTAATCATCTTGTAAGGTTCTCATGTGGATTCGTGCTATAGTAAATCCTTCCACTTCATAAGTACTTTCTGAATAACAAACCCATGATGCTGATAATGAATTGACAGCTTTTTGTAAAGGAGAAAAAAATGTACGATGCACTTATGCATAAGAGAATCGGTTGGGACATCATCTCGACGGAAGCTGTAAAAGAGCTCTCTAGTATCGTTGGACTACATAAATGTCATGAATTATCCAGGTACTTCCTGAATTGTTGGGACTCTAAGATTTAGATGGTCACGTAGAATAATGCTTCCTTGGTAGTCAGTTCCAGCATAACCAAGAAGGCCTTTGACATATAATCACACCCTCGGAGTAAACTTATGCCATAAGCAACATTTGAACCTTGAGTATAGTTGAGATCATCAATATTCCGCTTTGGAGCTCCTAAAATTGAAGTTGATTATGATTTGCCATACCGAGAACTGCCAAGAGTGGGTAAAGCATGTGGATCTACATCCATTCTTCTACCATATGAACTAAATTCTTGAAAACCGGGATGAATAGGTGCAGCTCTTGCTGTAAGATATTCAGCTTGCTTCACATCAAGACTAGTATGTAGTGTCCCTGGGATTGCCACCGCCCCAATAGCTTCTTCCTCCTCCAGTGCAATGGTTGTTGTAATCTTTGCATGTTTCCCCCGTGTATCAAGGGTAGGAATACCACCTTTCTTCCCTCTGCGCCACATGACCTGATCCCCATGATTCGGCCCACCCCCCTCCTTCTCTGGTCGTCCACTCCCCTTGTTCAAATGACCTCTCATAATAGTTGGTCACCCCACCACCTTCACCATGAAACTCCTTTTCTTTTGTCCCCCCATCTGAAAACACTATTGCGTCCCTTATCGGACCCCTAGGAGGCGGCTATTGATCCCCTCCTTTGATGGCCCACTCCCATTGCCCGAAATGCCTCCCATAGTGGTTGGCCATCCTACCACCTCCACCAAAAAAATTCCTCTTTGCTGCCCCCCCACCCTGATTCACAACTTATTGAAGCCTTAAAAGGTAGCTCTTGACGAAAGAAACTATCATCGTTGAACTTCTCCCTTCCAATCTCCTTTCCCTTAGATTTGGTCAAGGGAATCCAGTGAAATCTTGGTTCGGGTTAGTAATCAGAACTGTCAGTGAAGTTTTGGATTGCATCTCAATGAGCTTCAACATCTTTTCCTCCATCCCTCCCAATCGACTCTCCATGATTGTAATCCTTCCTTAAATGGTTGAAAACATTCCTTCCATGGTTGAGAACTTTTCTCTATCCGATATTTGATTTGCTCCACTTTGTCTTCCAACACATCCACCTTATTTGTTGTCATCCCTCTAAAACTTCGCTCTGATATTAATTTGATACGAAATGGATGCAATTTTAGCAAAATCAAAAAATAAACAAGAAATTTAGGAATCAAAACACATAAGAATTGTTTTTTTAGTGCAAGATATATGAAATAAAACAACAAGATACAGTTGAATCTTCAATTGGAGAGAAGATCTAGCTCTCCCAAATCCCTAGCCATTGGCTAGAGCCCACTCAACCTAAACAAAACTAGTTCTAGCAAAATCAAGCATAATCTAAAATCACCCCATAGTTAGCCTTAAATAAACTCTCCTAATTCCCTCCCAAATCAGACCCCTTTTCCTAAATAATTTCCTATCAAATTTGAATTCAAATTTGATTTATTTTCCTAATTAAATCTCTTCCAATTGTAATTAAAGATTTTCTTAATTAATTACCTCTCTTGGGCCCCACAAAGTGGGTCAAATTTCCCCCTGGCTTTCCTCCTACTTTTGCCAGCCCTTGGCTAGTTCGGCTCTTGCTAAATTGGCTCACTGGGTTGGTTCATGTCGCCCGGCCCTCCTGCTGCTCCTGCCGCTCCCACTGCTCCTACTTCTCCTTCTGTATCAAAATGCTATTCTTGCTTATCTTCTATATCCCATTGTGAATTCCTTCTATTTGTATTTGTCTAGCAGTAGCAGTTATTTGTTCTCTTTGTTTTTTGGGAGTGTGGGGTTGGCATTTATAGGCGCCTATTTTAATATCAATCCCTGGCTTGCCAGAAAGTTTGTTCCCTAATAATAGCATATATTAAGCTGAGTAAACTATTTCTTTCTGTAATGCGCTATGACCATATTCTCAACCTGAATTTAAAAGACTGATTGCAATTACATGTTTGAGCTTCATAATTATGAGCAGATATAGCCTTTTTACCGTTAACCATACTTTAAATTCTGATGACATGGCAGGTAAATAATTCTTGTTAATTCAAAGTCATGAGAAGTGGAATATGGTTATTTAAATATGCCATGCAATATTCATTGTATTTTTTGTTATTTTTTATGTGCTCATTCTTGTCTTTTTTCATCCCATTTTAATTCCTGAAAAAATGTCAACCATTCATCACGATGGTGGAGCTCGTTCTAATTCTTATGTTATCCACGTATCTTCTAAATAAAACCCCTAATCCACCAACACTTGCACATTATTACTTCCTTCTCTATCCCTCTCTCTTTTATTTGAATATGTCTGCAAGGATTTTGTCTTTGTTGATTTCCTCCCAACTCAAAGCTTTAAGGCAACTGGCCTAGTTTCCAATTTCCAATTTGAGATTATTATATAAGCTTCTTGGCTACAACTAGAGAATGTCATGATCAGTAGTCTTATCTTAACTATTTGTGGTAGCTTTATAAGTTTTCATTTTTCATTCATTCTTGTTGAGTGTTGTATAAAGGATTAAAACTAATCTATGCTGCTAGACCTGCTATGCATATGGATTAGAATCCAGAGATATGAAAATAATTATTCCATCCATTGTTTGGCAAATATTTGATTAAAGAAACCCATATCATCTACCTTTCCAACAGACTCTCAAACTGAAGAAGGGTTTTATAGGATTTCTGTTCTAATGTTAGAAGGATGCTTACACGCAATTTACTTTTGAAGTTCTGTTTTTAACGATATCCCTGCATTTCATCAAAAACTACGGATGATACATCAATAGTTGGCATGAGAGCTTAAAGGACAAGCACTATTTTTTGTATTAGTTGTCATGCTTTTGCATCATATGATATTTGTTCATCTTACCGCCCCTTCCATGGCCTTTTCAGGAAAAAAATAGCCTTGAAGCACTCCTTTAGTTAATCTCATTTAACCAGATACTTCTCTTGCTTAGATCTTACCCTGTGAAACTTGTGAGTTAAACATAAATACAGATGCTTGAAGCATTTCATTTCAATTGTCCTTAAGAAGGTGCATGGATCACTAATGAGAGCCGAGAAGTTTTCTTTTGGTAGCAAGTGCCAGACAATATGTTAGCTGGGGGTATAAAAAGAGTTATCTTTTGGTAAGAGGGCCCATATAATGTGTAATCAATGGAAATCAATATTGGTTAGCAATTTTATTTCGAGTTTCATCTCAGCAAAATTGAAATCGAGGGTGTTTTTGTTGCCTTAGTGGGGATAAGAATGGCGAGAGCTTAGAAGATTTCTAGCTAATCTTGTGGCTTGGATGAGAGAGGTGGGGAGCTCAAGGTCTATAGCACTAGTACTGGGATGCAATGAAAGAGCAAAGGTGGTGAGATTGGTTATGTGGGAAATCAAGATAAGGATATAAATTTTAATATAAGAATATATATATATTTATAAAGGATAGAAACTTATCCGATATATATTTTATAAAGGGGCACGAGGTTAGTTATAAGATTTTAAAGAGGAGTCATTGAAGGGAACAAAAAATTGATGCAAGAGGCTATTGAAAATACACGCCTGATATTTACTGTAAGGAAGATTTTAAAGTCATGCTTGTTACGCAAATCATTAAATATGCAGCATATGATACTATTATTTTTCAGTGCGGATTGTTTAATCTGGACTGTATTATAATTATTCTAATTTTTCCATAGAGAGTCCTCTTTTACAAGCATTCTTGGTTTCATATTTTGCCTTTCTTTTTACTGAATAAAGTCATCAACCACTGATAATGTTTTATGTGATTGATAAAGCAGGTTGCAAGAGTATTTTGCTTCTTCTAGGTGTGGACATGGATGATAATGTGCATAAGGAGAACGTAAGACACAAGACTGATCATTATAAATCAGTTCATGCACAGGTATGTTTGACGTCTCACAAAAGAATAAATGAATTTCTAGCCATGCGTTTCATTGCCGTGATTGCATGACTAGGCATATCAATAGGTTGGGTTCAGTTTGGGTCTTGTAATGCAAAATCTCAATCCAGATGCTTCTTTATTTGGGTCAGAATTTGGTCATGTTCTGATTGGTCCAGTAGATATGGTTAGGGAGCTAAGGGTGATACTGAACTATTGTAGGAGATGCTTGAGGCACATAATATTTGTGGTAGGTGTTACAAAGGAACAATACTCGGCATCAAACAAGGAGAGGGTGATTGCAAATTGTGTTTTGACATAGATGGATATTAAAGTTTGATCGAAGAAGGCACGATAGCTAGTGGGTGATTTGCACCAGTCAAATCTGAATTTGTATATGCTCATAGGGAAAGATTGTCTCGATGGATTGGTAGGCCATTATGAATAATAACTTTCAGGTAGCGTAACCTGTTTGAGAAATTGGAAATGGTTTTGAAGAGGTTTGTTCATATGTTGGCACGCATGGTTAATTGTATAGGTTATGTCTGGGTGAGTTATGGTAAGGTGCTGAAGGGATCTTGCAAGATGACGATAGAGATTGGGTTTAGAAAAATAGATCAGTTGGTCAGCTGTGTGAGTTATTTTTAAGGGGATATGTGTTTGTGTAGGCTTTTAGTCAATCATAACTAAGTGGTTAAGAATGGCATGGGCGTACTGCGACTGATTAAGATAAATGTTATATGGCGTTGACTGCACTTTGATGTATGTTAAAGTGTGATGCATTACCTAGATTCTTCATGTGGAATTGAACATGTAGGTTATGTAGGAGACTTATTATGATTGTGTGTATTTTCAATGAGTAAAATGTTGTCTATATAGGGTAGGAGGTAGAGAGTGCAGTTAGGTTGTTGAGAGAGCCAGAACAAGGGGTCTAATGTACTAGACGAGAAACCTAGGCATTGTAAGTGCCTAATGTAACGTCCTAGAATAAAATTTAGAAAAATTATTTATTTATCATTTTAAGAATATACCAGAGTTTTTATAAATCATTAATATAAACAATAACTAGTGAAAGCAGCTAAAATCACACACATCAAGATATTTTGCTATTCATTCACCAATATATCATTTACACTAGATTGGAGATCACTACAATCACTAATCTATCACAAGCTCCTGACTGCAAAAAAATATAAGAAAATATAGAATAAAATCTAAAGAAAACCTGAAGATCTCTGTCAATCTCACTTCAAATGATCTTGATCTGAAATCATTTAAATCATATATAATGAGCTCAAAAGCCAACAGTAATTTAAAACTCACTAAATCTTTTAATGCAAGGACTAAAGAATCAATATGAAATATCATGTCTAATATAATCAATAGCATTCAATGTAGTTAGTAATAAAATATTATCAATAAAACTCAAAATGATCAACAATAAAAGCGGTGAATCATTACGATAAATCTAAAAATCAATAATTTATATAAAATTCAATAAATCGATAAAAAATTGTGCATAAATCATTCATAAATCACTAAAGAAATCTATCTTATCTATTCATATGCATCATCTATTTATGCATTATCAATGCATCAAATATTGTCGATGATATTAATGTATTTTCACTGTCATCAGTGCTATCAATATATGCATGCATCAATATATGATTTAATAAGGCAGGACATCTAGCTTTAACATGGTGTTTTCAACATCTTTTACCCCAACTAATTCCCAGTTGGTCATCAATCATATCAATTATTACTTATCCAATTAATCAATTATCATTACATGTGATTTCATTAAATCAATAAAGAGTCGTCACTCTCTGCCCGTCGGTGTAATCGGTCATATCTTACATGCTACAACCGGGATAACACCACAAACTATTTTTTAAGGAAAGCCCATCGGCCCACCCTCCTGCACAGGGTATTATATTTTAACAGTCAAACCATTTTATAATGTTAACAATCAGCCTTTCTTGCTTATGCAAATGCCACAATCAAAATACAGTGGAAAATAATCAATTTTATTCAATATAACAAAATATATATAATAATCAAAATTATTGAAAACTAAAATGATATTTGAGTTACTTACAATAAATAGAAGAAATTTCTAAACAAAATTGACGGAAGAAAAAGCCCTGAACAACCTTCTCTCTCTTCCCTCTCTCCTCTTCGGCAAGGGACAGCGTTGAAATTCAGATTTTTTATTTTAAAAAAAATCATTTAAAAAAATTCGGATTATTACATCTAGTGAAGGTAACAAACCATGGTCGAGGAGCTTGGCGGAGATTGCAGATTTCCATTTAAGGTGGCAAACATGATTAGAGAATTGCTAATCTGTGAAACCTTAGGGATGCATATGCACTGTCTTAGCAAGGTTTTCATGAAGAAAGGTGTCGGAGAAGTCAAGCTAGTTGATTAGCCAGTTTCTCGTAAATGACGCAATTGAGAAGAATACAATTGTTTAATATTTTTGTTGCTGGACTAAATATCTCATTTTAGTCGATACCTTGTTCTTATTTAAAGCCTTGAGCTATTGGGCAAGCCTTGTGTTGAGCTATAGTATTGTTTGAGTTGTTTTTTACTTCGTAGATCAATTTGGAGGCCATAATATGCTAGTTGGTTGGTGGAGAAACAAGGATCTAGGTTCCTTGGGCTTGTAGAGCTTAGAACTCCTAATAAATTGGCGTGATGCTATTTTTTGTCCTTTGTTGCGTCTGAGCAGTAACTTGGGTTAGTGGGAGTGGTGGTTTGAAAAAGATTGAGGTGTTGTTTGAAATTGAGATGACCAGTTTTTAATCAACTATGCATGGAATAGCCTACCTAGATGTGTTGTAGTGAGATATGAGATTTGAAGACTGGTGGAGGAATTGAGACAGTGGCAGGAAAAGGAATGGGTGTAGTTTGGGGAACCAAGCTAATGGTGGGCGCATTGGATTGGTATTGTTGTTGGTTGTAGATGTTGGAGTTTCGGGGGGAGTGGGTGCAATTTGTTGTGGTTGTGTATGCGAAATGGGTGCAATTTGTTCTGCCTGTGATCTTAAGAGGCTTGATATGGGAATGAGTAATAGGGGAGGTTGTTTTATGGTGGGGAAATTTTGGTGAGATGGGGTGATTGGGTTATGATAGTTAAAGTTGTCTTCATTAAAGATGATGTGGCGTGAGATATATGTTTTGCTTAAGAGGTGGCCATAGAACTTATAACCTTTTTGAGTGATGTTGTAGCTGAGAAATATACAGCTAATAGATATAGGGAAAGCCATGAGAAACATTGGTAGCATAGATTTTAAGGTGGGAGTGGGATGGTAGTTTGTTGTGTAGCAGATGATATGAGAAATCATATGTGTTTTAGGTAAGGGTAGTCTAATAACAAGGTATGCAGCTATGGAAATTTGTCTACCCGTAGATATCGAGGGAGATTAGCTTCAAGTAGTAGGGTGCTCATGATGGTGGTGCCTGTGCGTAATAGTTTTGTTTTTCTTCAGTGTGGATGGACAACTATCATGGTGAATGATGCTTGCTCAGAATAGGAGGATTTGAAGTTATAATTGAGGTATTCTCCCGCTCTGTCACGACCCGGCCCGGTAATCTCGCATAGGCGAGGCGGGAACGAAGGTCAGACGGTAGACTAACTATCCAATCTCTAAATCTATTGTCATAACATTTGAAAGAGCAACTAAAAATATTTAATTCGAAAACACATAAACATATAGAAAATCATTAAGATTCATATAATTACCTTTCATCAGGCGCGCTTCTACTACGATATACGTTTCCACCCCTTATAGTCATTAAGATTAAAATAATTATACATGAAATTTTTTAACAACTAACAATAAGCCAAAGCTTATTAAGTTAAACATGACTCTAAATTACAGTAATTCAAGGCAGAATGAGTAATATGTTAGATGCCACATTTCATTAAAATATATCATAATTTTTTTCTCTTCCTATAAACATAACATTAAACATACAAATAAATCATAAATTCATATCCTTCATATTCATTTTTCATTTATCATATCAATATTCGTAACTTTCTCATTTCGTATATATTACAACTGTCACAGGAGCCATCGTTTAGTACCATAAATATACTCCTTTACTATTTTAACGTGCACGAGTACAGCGTCCCCAGCTAATACCATAAGGTGGTGAACTCCATCAATTCAGCATGCACATGCAAGCATTCTATGACAATCATATAATCTCATTTCTATAACATATAAACTTTATGTGATAATGCCAAGAAGTATAACATATAAATTGCATGATCAGTCATAGGATAAGAATAACATAATCATGATCTAAAGTAACCATAAAAATTTCATAAACATGATTGAACTTTTAAAACATATAACTGGAGAGAAAATAAATGTATCACTGTAATAAAGAACCATGAGTACTCACAAAAAATTATGAAATTGATTCTCTTTGCTAGTCCTCATTCCTTCGAGGTCACCACAAATAACACTTATAAGAAAATAATTTAATATTCATAGGTTAACGCTAATCATCTAAAACTTAATTATTTTATTCCTCTAAAATTTTCATAGGTTCTCTTTCTCTCACTCTCTCTAATTTAATGCATAAAGCATATAACAATTCTAAAATTTCATATTTTAGTCTAATTACTTATTTTATCCAAGTTAACCCTTTACCCTAACCTAAAATTATTTAAAATAATTTTTATTTTCGGATTTAAATTAATTAAAATTAGGAAAAAAATAGTATTTTGAGAAAAATCTCAAAATTTCACCATTAGAATATTCCTAAGACCCTTAGGAATAAACTTTGTTAAGAGATTTCATAAAAATCAACATTTGGGAAAACCTTAAAATAATTTGGAGAAAAATTATCTTTTTATGGTTGGAAATCATTCCTAAATCTTCCCTAACTTTTTCTTTAAAAAAATTTTAGTTTGGGACATAACCCTAGATTTTAATCATGAAAGATTTTGGAGAAAAAGAAATGTTTCTAAGTGTAGATCATACTCTTTCTCCTCAAGTTTTCCCCTTCATTTTCTCCTAAAACCGCCGTCAAAAAACAACCCAAGCACCGACGCCTTCCTCTCCCCTCCGCGCGCACCCTCCGCGCGCCTCTTCTCATGTTCGGTTTCGGCCGAACGAACATAATGGGGACCAAATGAAACCTTAAGAGGAATGAGGTTTAATGTAAAATGTCTTAATTTCTCTCACTTAAAACACATCCGCATTAGTATTTGCTAGGGGTAGTTTAGGTATTATGAATCTTTCTTTATTTTTAATTTCAAATCCAAGCAAAATTTCATATAAGTTCTTTATATTGTTTTGTTCAAAATTTTGCGTAGAATTTTATAAAATTATTTTCGTCAAATTCTGACGACTTTGAAAAATTCACTTAAATCTCGCCGCGGCGCATCAAAAAGTGTGCGAGGTCTAAAATTGACATTTTTCGGGCTTTGCACGCTCCATCAAAGTAGAATATTTTAATTTTGAAAATGTAAAGTTGTTCAGCTATGGTTTAAATTGAATGGATCAAGGGACTGTTTCAGGTTTGAGTTTTATAGGGTACACCCAAAAAAAATGTGAGAATTCATCAATAACTAGGACAAAATTTATAACTATGATTTGATATGGTGGGGGAAGGGATCCGTACATCAATATGAAGAAGATGAAGAGGAGTGGAGCTATGAGAAGTAGATGCTAAGAATGACAACTTGTGACATTTTGCTAATCTGTGGGATGAGTACGGGCTAGAACTTTGTTGAACACAAATTTTTGTATTGAGTTGTGCTATTGAGGAGAGAGTTGTTGAGCTTGGATGTCCAAGGAGGCGGTGCTAGAGAGCCGAGACGTGTTTCGTTGAGACTAGGGCGAGCTGACAAGCCGAATGTGAAGGTGGATGATTAGAGTTGATGTGGTAGAGGCCACTATGAAATGGCCCCACTAGGAGAAGCTGATCTGTCTTTGAGTCCTTAATTTGATAGACAACAACATCGAAGGATATGTGAGTGGAATTGTCAGAGATATGATGATTAATAGAAATGAGGGTATGAGAGAGGTTTGGTACATTAAGAATTGGATATAAGAGTGAGGTGGGTAGTAGCTCCCTTGCCTAGATGTGTGATGGGCAGAGAGTAGCCATTTCTAAGGGTAACCTGTTGTGTGTGGTGGTATGCCTAAGGATTGTCGAGGTGAGGTGTGTAGTAGCTCCTGAATTGAGGTACTAGTCTATGGAGGTGTTATTGGCGATAGTGAAGAGTGGTTGAGATTGAGTTGTGGGGCCGTAGTAGCAAAAATCCTAGTGATGCTAGCAAACGACGATGCAATGTCCCCATTTTCTGCACATTTGACTGAAAATGGAGAGTGTGGGAGATTGACCTCACCTGTTGGTGTTGGAGGGACTTCAACCAGCTTCAGCATGAGTGGCTAAATGAGCAACATCAATTTGAAGTAGGGTAAGGGTAGCGAACTCTACCATGGGCCTTGCAACAATGAGAGTTGCATGTGGGGCTATGCTTTGTAGAGTGTGAAGATCTTGGGCTGCTTCAATGTTTGGATTTATTTCCTCATGACGTAATAGTGAGTATAAGCCATATAGACTGATTAGTTGGAGATTAGTTCTGATGAATGTCTTGACAGCTTGATACTGAGAGATGAAATCATTTAGGGGGTAGAGAATGATGTCTTTCGGATCCAATGGGGAGTTGACTTGCAGCTATGGCATCTATGGTGATCTTGATGTCAGGTGTATTTTGAGTTATGGTTCTTAGTCATGGAAATTCGGTGGTCATTTTTTAATTGGATAATGATTGTAGTTGATGTTTGATGGTAGACCATATTTTGAAGCATTTATCAAGTGTGAGAAGGTATGGAAGGAGTGATATGGACATGATTGAGTAAAGAGTGGGGCGATGTTGTGGTCGATGAGCATCCAACTGTGTAGGGAGGGGGTGTTGGGATTGACCATGATGTCGGCGATGGTGAGTTTTTTTTTATTAGCAATGGGTAGAGCCATTTAGATACTCGTCAAACCTTTTGGCCAAAAAATTTTGAGGACAAATGATCGCAAAGTGAATGGCTTTCGGGTGTGAATTGTGTGGTGAGGATGTTCTTGATGCTTGACGCAAGGAATTTGGGTGGACTTGGAATGGGGACATCTGTCTCTTTGGTGAGGCCATGGCTTCATCCATACTTGAGTTGTGGTTGTTGGATGTTCCTGTGGGGTCCATATTGTGTGGTGTTGTAGGGTTGGTTGCTCTAATACCATTAAAGAAGCTACTAATGAGGAATTAGAATACAGAGAAGAAGATACATGTAGTATTAAGACTCGTATTTCATTCCTTACCAAATGTGATTACAATACTTGTATTTATACTAGTATAAAGGATGCAGAGTTGGTTTTGGACAAGAGGTTGAGGTAATTTGGTTGGTTTTAACTGTATGGTGATGTTAAAGTGTGGTGCTTACTGTGGCAGTTTTTGATATATGGAATTACTCTGTTACAAAAACTTCACTTAACCAACTTTCTTCCAAAGCACTGAAAAAAAAATAACGAAAATGCCAAATCGATGCAGTTTTGATGATTTGAGAACTTAAATTTAATCATGAAAAAAAAATCTGAGACTAAAATGAGCACATATAATAAATTTAGGGATGATTTTAATCATTTACTCCTAAAGATTTTGTCTTGACTGCTCATTCATCTGATTCATCAAAAACTGTCTTGGTTTTTCGAAAATCGTCAATATATATTTAGCTCTTTATGACAAGTTGCAAAGATTTTGGTAATGTTAGTTTCTCTTTGTATTCAGTTGGATAGAATTTCCTCAGCTTATCGAGGCATATTAAGGTTTCGTTTGGGATGATCTTTTTTTTGCTTCGTAAAGCAGTTTTCTAGTACAATAGAAAGCTGCTTTATGAAGCAGTAAGAAAGCTGTCGAGCTTCGTTTGGGACAACTTTATTATTGCTTCTTAAAATAATTTTTGTACTAAAAATTTATTTTAAGAAGCAGTAATAAAACCATCCCAAATAAATCCTTAGTTTGCATCCAAACCCAAGACTTGAAAGCATTCCACGTTGTTCAACCATGGTTGGATGTTCCTGTGTAACTTTTTCATGACCTCACATGCTTTTTAGCATACCTATTGTTTTTACACATTTTTGGAGAATGCAGGTCATAGAATATGGGAACAAGGACGAATGGATGCATATGTGACTAGTTCGAGAAATTATTGTGTGCGAAATCCGAATGCATTCGGATTCCAATTACCGCATGCCACGTCACCGGATGCACTCCTGGGCTCAGTGCATCCAATGACATGACGCATGGTGATTAGAATCTGAATGCATTCGGATTCCGCACATAATAATTTCTGGACTAGTTCGGCTAGTGAGATATATTGATTATATAATTGCTGATGTGATATTTTTTTCTTTGCAATTTGGATAAATGACAGTGGATGATGCCTCAGCATCAGATGAAAGACAGCCCTGCACTGAAGCTTATGACCCTCTTAACCGAGCGCGACAATGCCATTCAAGAACTCAACATAGCCATTTCCGAAAAGCGAGCTGCTTTGGCTGAGAGAGATATGGCCATTGTACACCGTGACGGAGCCATCGCAGAGCGGAATGCCGCCATCATGGAGCGTGACAACGCCCTCGCCGCACTCGACTATGCCCGTCAAAATAGCCTGAACGGCCATGGCGTTCCAGCAAGTCCTCCCCAGCATCTAACTGAGCCATATCCAATGCCAACAACAGCTTCTGATGATGCTATTAAGGGACGAAAGGCTAAGCGGTCAAGGAAGGAGAAGAAAGATCAAGCTAAGAAAGCATCCAAGACGCCAAAGAAAGGCAGAATTGGTGGTGGGGAGGATCTAAACAAGCAGATTTCTGATTTCAAGTACCAGGAATGGAAAGTATGGAAAGTTCAGGATCTGGGTTTGAATCAGGTCCCTTTTGATGAGTCAATTATGCAACGGCCGCCGGGGTGTTCATGCACAGGGAAGCTACAGCACTGTTACAAATGGGGAAGTGGAGGATGGCAATCTGCTTGTTGCACTAAGACGCTCTCCATGTACCCTCTGCCAGTCATGCCCAACAAACGCCATGCGAGAGTTGCAGGGAGGAAGATGAGTGGCAGTGCCTTTGTCAAGTTGCTTACCAGATTAGCTGCTGAAGGCTACGATCTCTCTGCACCTCTGGACCTTAAGGATCACTGGGCTAAGCACGGCACAAATCGGTACATAACCATAAAGTAATTTTTTTTGCTATTTAGGATTTCTGTAATTTAAGCAGTTGTTGGGGCTGAAGATTAAGCCGTTCTTGGGGAATAAAATGCAGCTTTGCATGTGAAATTCTATCTTCTATTTGGTACTTGTTCTCTCCCAATGGAGAAATTATTACGGGTATGTATAATAGTAGAGTCCACATGCTTGTGAACTCCAATGAAATCAAATCACATGATTTATATATAGGATATGTATTATACACATCGTGTTTATAAGATTATACCATATATGCAAGTTGTGCACATAATATATATAAATTATGTTACTTGATTTTATTGAAGTCAGACTCCGCACATAATAATTTCTCCTCCCAATGATAGGATTTTTACTGGGAACACCGGTGGAATTTGAATCACGCTCTAAGGCTTTGATTGGGAAGGATTTCTTGCTGCTTCTTAAAATAATTTTTTAATAAATTTTTATACTAAAAAATTACTTTAATAAATAATAAAAAAATTATCCCAAACAAAATTTAACTGTGCCAATAGAAATTGCTTCTCTTTACCATAGAGAGGTTCAGTTCGGGGAGCACATAACCTGGAATACGTGTCTATTCTGTTGTGTATATGCTTTAGCCAGGTTCTCAAGTGTTTTGATTTTTTTTTTTTTTTTTTTTGATTTTTTTTTTTTATAGCTTTCCAGCCATCTTAATAGCAATCAATGGTGAAATTAGTAGCCCTCTCTAAATTTGAGAAAATTTAATATAGCTATTTAATATGAAAATTTTATTCATAAACTCTCTTATAATTATACAGATCATATAAATTTTATCACCCTTAAAATTAAATAATCAGTACAAAACTAGACAGTATGTTTACAGTCTGATTTTAGTAACTGTTAAATTAATAGAATGTAATAATTTTCGAAAAAAAATGCTTGATGATTTTTTTTAATAAGAAAAATGAAGATTTTAGGGTTTCCATACATGCTTTACAACTATTATGAATTTTCAAATTTAATAGCTAAATTTTAATACTTGTATAGCACTCAAATTATTAAATCACATCAAAAATATTATTAATATGAACTTTTAAGTTTTAACAAATAAAATATAACCCTTTATGTGATTAAATCACTAAAACAGAATATAAATAAATAACAAAATTAAAATGTTAGACATGGATATATAATAATTGATGTTATATGCCCCCTCCTTTTAATTTTTAATCAATTTTTGTTATTGTTGAATTCAAATTTGTTCAATGAATAATCATGAATATTACTAGTAGATTTGATTAGTAAGTTAAGTATGTTAAAATAGGTGGGGAGAAAATTAGGAAATAAATAAAGAAAAAACAGACTAACAAAGCATTAAATTATCATTGTCGAACCAACAACTTTAACCACTTTAAAAGGGATTTATTACTCTTAAAAAAATCTAGAATTGTATCACTTTACTATTCCTTGTTACCCTACATTTATAAGGATTTGACGCTCAATTTTTTGTAACAAGAATAAGATGTACATTTTCACCAAATGTGTTAGTTCTATAAATGTCACGTTAAGGTTTAGGTTTAAGATTTTTTTTACTATATATTGATGTGTACCGATGTATACTACTATGTTTTGATGTTCATTATTTGCTTTTCGATTGAAGAAATTAGCAATACATTTCAGTGATGATTTCTTTCATTTTTTGTGCAAATTTACCTTTCTTGTGTGCTTCTGTGTACCTTTGTGTACTGCTTCAATGTACATTTATATACTTCATTTGGGTACCACTAGGTACCGCATATGGGTACTATTGGGTATCAATGTTATGTAATTTTTAGTGAAGGTGGCATTTTGGTCTTATCCACTACACCAAATTTTATAGGGATCTATTACAAAGATAAGTTTCTGGTGCAAATTTTTGACTTCCAGATAAATATGTCATCGCTTGGTTAACACATTTATCCAAGAATATGTGGATATAGTGAGACAACTACAGGTACATCAATTTCTGTTGATACCACGTTTCGTTGTAAAAGAGGTTAGCATTCACTATCAATGAAGTTGCCCTTATCATAGGCCTGTCGAACTGAGGAAATCATTTCGAGTTTGGAAGTGCTTGAATCGCCAAAAAATTTCACAAATAATATAAAGGAGGTGTTCAGTTTGGACAACTCAAGTCCATTTCTAGAGCTTGTGAAAGAAATTGATCATTTACTCATTATCTAACATTTTCTTTCCTCTCCATAATTATCGAATAACAGCTATGATCCTTAGGTAGTTCATAATGCACATCAATTTTTATCTTACAATTAGGCAACTTCCATTAGAAATTTTCTAATGGAAGAGTTCGATGTAATTACCAAGAAGTTTGTCAAAGGCCAACCACTAGGATACATGCATGGCTTTGTATATATTGTAATTGTGATTGCATCCACCGTTTTAGATTTAGGTTCATTCTAAAATTTTATTATATTCGTAAAGCTTTTTTTGGCATGTAGATATGACTTTTAGAACATACAACAGTTCACGCATTAATGGATTATAACTCAATATCTCATTTTATTCGTTGGGCAATGATATTATGTATAGCGAAGTAAAGGCATCTGATTTATTTGATGATCTCGAGGATGTATAAAATATTACATTCTTTTGAAGGACATTATTAGAGAATTCAATCCCTGATCAAACATTCAGTTCACCTCACACATTCCTCCAACTACAACTCACCGTGCACCAACCAACCCTAATAGTTTCTTCACCGGGGATTAGCTGTGCGAACTGCCGACATTGGAGGAGCTTTGAAAGCCGAACATAGCAAGTGCAAACCTCAGATGGCGACAGAGGACGGTCAGAGAAGCTGGCGCCTCAGCAATACAGATGGTGGAGGACGGGCGACGGAAGCGACAAAATTGAAAGCTTTGAAGGTCGAACAAGCTGCCGCCTCAGCCTGGCAGACAGCGGAAGCCGGATGGTAGGCCTGTGCAAGTAGATGGCTGGTTTCCGAGTGAACTATGTAGGCAAAACAAGGCAACAAGTTGCCGACTTGCGTGCAAGCTCTCGAATAGCAGAACAACTGAATAAGCAGAAGCAGAATCTAGGGTTTTCTAAAGGGTCAACCTGAACTCGACCTAATTAAAAAAACAAGTCGACTTTCCAAACTAGAACCCAATCCGTATGTAAAACAAGTTAACCCAAACCTATAATTTTTTAGGTCAAGTCCAAGTCGGTCGTATCAAATATTGAAAACCCTAACTAATAGCTACAACTACTTACTTTCCAAGTCCATGAGTTCATAGTTTAATGTTTCCTAATTGAAATAATAATATGATTTTCAGTCAAATTGACTAAACATAAGCAAATGTAAGGATTGTTAATTCGACAGATTTAAAATTTAAAACTTAAAACAGATAATTTAAAAAATACGGTAAACTAATTAGAAGAGACCATACATTAAATTTATATGTAATGCAATCAAACCGGGCCAGATTGATCAAGCATGAAACCAGTACATATAGTCATATATACAAAAATGTTTATATAACCTCTTACGCTACTTTAATTCAAAAAAGATTTGATGTGCGAGCCTCAGACCGTCCTAGTTCATGTACTTCTTTCTACATAAAACAATCATAATTGCTTGCAGCAAATTATCACAGTCATCATAGGCATCTCACAATTAGCATCAAATTATGAACAAAAGAGAGTAAAATGTTCAATTTCTGCAACTAAAACACAAGGAACTAAATCATGGAAGAACAGATTGTGTCAGATCAAGATCTATCAGCACCCAATTGCACTCAGACAGGGATAACTGTATGGATTTATGTTCTCATCATCCACATACTTCTAATAAATAAGTAAAAACCCTAAAGGATCTTCAAACGAAATCAGACAAGTTTAAAAGAGAAATCTATCAGATCTTCCTATTCAAAGTTTCAGCAAATCATCGCATCCAATATGTCAACTGGAAGCTCCGCTTGTAATAGATTTCATCATATAGAAAACTTAAATTTCTATCGAGATAAAATACCAAGACGGAAAATAATAAGCGAGAAACGAAAGACATTCGACTATAGAGAAGGAATTACGAGGCAAAGCAAACGCGGCCTGCAAAAGCAAAGAAAGGAACTTTTTGGTCGCTCGGCTGAAGGAGACGGAACGCTAGGGTTGTCTCAGCAGTGAAGGTCACTCGTAATATATAAGTCATCTGACGGAGCAGATTTTCTTGGTTTATAAATGTAGGGCTGTGATGAAAGGCATGAAATTTTGGAAAAATTATTACTTGGGTGAGGAGTCCGGATCATGAAATTTTGGAAAATTTATTAAGTGCTTCAGACTCCAATTATATATGTATAGACATTTTTTTTTTCTTTTGTATAAAAAATTTGCAGAGAGCATAAATTATTACGTGTGGTGTTTGGATCATTCGGACTTAGGGCTTCAAGCGAACCAAACGTTCGACGAACTACTCGTTGTTCGGTTCAATTAAAGCTCATTCGTGATCGTTTAATTAACTAACAAACAAACTTGAACAATATTTTAAATACTCGATTCTTAAATAAACAAGCTTGAACACTAATGCGTTCAGCTTGTTTATGTTCGCGAACAACATCAGTTGATGTTCATGAACAAGCTCGATAAAAAGCTTGATTCGGGTTCGATTAAAATCGCTCGATAAAAACTTAAATAATATATTATTATAAAATTGATAAATATACATAATATAAAAATTTTAATTATAACATAATAATATAATTATTTTTTATTAATAACAAGAAACATTTCATATTTGTCCATGTTTGTTAGATTGTTTGTTTAGGATGTTCATAAACAAATTTAAGGTTTGCTTGTTCAACAGATTGTTTGCAAAATATGTTCACGAAAATAGCTTGTTTAAAGCTCGATAAGCACTAAACAAACGAACATGAATCAAACATGAACCAAACATGAACACCCTTAAATTAAATGAACCAAACATGAACACAAATAATAAAGCTCGAATCACCCTGAGCTCTTTCTGATTCCACCATTGAGTGGAGCAGAGCTCAAAGTCATCATTAACTTGAGCTTGAACTTGATTAATTAATGGAGTTAGAGCTCGAGCTCAAGCTTAATTCTATGAGTTCTAGTCGGCTCAAATTTAAGCTCACTTATTATGAAAGAAAAAAAATTATTTTAATACAAATTATTATTATAATAAAATTATTAAATGAATGAGAAACTACAATAAGAATTGATGTATTATCATGATTGGGCATGAATCTCGAGGCAAAATCAGTTCGGAAACTTCAAAAATTAAATTCGAGAGCATCTGAACTCCAATATCAACGAGCTTATAGTCAAACTGAGCGTCTCGGAAATACGAACCCAATGACACCAAGATCAACCCAATCCGAGCCCAAATGAGCCCGAATCAAGGGCTCAAAGCACTGTTGGAAGGTTCAAACCGCAATTTGAGTTACCAAACGGTCTCCGATTTTGACGAGCTTATACTCGAATCGAACGGCTCGACGAGACGAATCCAACGAGTTCAAGATCTCCGAATTCCAACATCATTAAGGTCTTCAAATGCCCAATGAACGGTGCATGATCAAAGGATTTGATATCGGTCGTCCATTCAAAACACTCCCAATTCGCCCTTGATCTCACGCCTATTTACGGGCTATGCCACTCCATAAAACCTATAAATAAAGCTCTCATTCTATACCAAAGGGACTCAAGTGAAGAGAGAGAAGAAGAAGAGAAGAAGGAGAAGAAGGAAGAAGCTCCTTCTCGACCACCGCCGGAGCTCTTCCTGCCACCCGAACACGCCGGGATTCTGCCAGATATTTGGGAGAATGCTAGAATTCTTCCCAACTTCCATTGGATGTAGAAATTCTTCTCAATTAACGACAGATTTCCCTTCTTACGCCGAAACTCCGCCCAAGTGAGGCCGGAGTTCTCTTCTGCCACCAACAGACGTCGGATTTCTACCCGACGTTGCACCTTCACTCTTCGCCAAGTTTCTACCCGACGCCGGACTTCTACTGGTTATCGGACTTCGCTGGATGTTTACGCGAAGATGGATTTCTTTTCATTGTTGGACTTTTACCTGACGCTGTCTTTCTGATCGTCGTTGTCAGACTACAGTCCTTCCGACCTCTGCTACCAATCGACTATGGTCCTCCTAACTTATGTCGTCCGCCGACTACGGTCCTCCTGACTTACGTCGCCCGCCGACTACAGTCCTTCCTACCTCTGTCGCCAGCCGACTACGGTCCTCCTGACTTATGTTGCCCGCCGACTACAATCTTTCCAACATCTGTCGCCTGCCGACTACGGTCCTCCTGACTTACATCGCTCGCCGACTACAGTCCTTCCGACCTCCGTCGCCAGCCGACTACGGTCCTCCTGACTTACGTCGCCCACCGACTACAAGCCTTCCGACCTCCGTCGCCCGCTAACTACGGTCCTCCCGACCAAACGAACATGCCAATAGTGATTCTTTGTATTCATATCATGTAATGTACTATATAAAATGTACATCAAGCTAAGGCCTTCTCGCAAGGAAGGGCCTCATTTGTAATCGACTGCAATACTAGTGGATTCATTCAAACTGGGCTAGGCCCCGTGGTTTTTCCCTCTTTTTCAGGGGTTTTCCACGTAAAAATCTTGGTGTCTCATAAATGCTACTCTCTCTCTCTATCTGATTGCGTGTCGGATTTTCGTACAACGCTAAGAAAATAAACTTTATATTTCTCTACCGCCGCGAATACTCCTGGACGCAACAAGAATAATAAGAAATCACTTGTTATAATGAAGTGAGATATAATTTTTAAGTATTTAAAAAAATTATTTACTCAAACTCTTAAACGCTAATATATTTTAAGTTTATTTTACTTTAATATTTTTTAAACTAGCGGTCTTGTGAACTAACGAGTCAAGGCATAACTTGCCAAATTTAATTCGCTAGCTCATTGAGCTCAAATTACTAACCATTTATCAAGCTAAATTCAAATTAACTCATAAATCAACTTGACTCACTTTAAACCTTACCCCCTGATTTGACAATTACAATCGCAAAAGTCGACGAAATAATATATATTGAACGCTATAACGATTTCCAGTTAGAGGCCCATTTAGTTTATTCTACGCCATCTCTAACCAGTTTTCTGGCCCATGGTCCCTCGCCCTTCTCACGATGCTTTCACTGGATTTTTTGTGAGGTGCTTTGCTAAAAGCAAAGGTCACAGAGAACTATAAGAAAATGTACTCTTAAATCTAACTTTTATTTTATCCAGTGAACGTACGCAGAGGAATGTTCGGTTTTAGGCAAAAAAGCATCTGTACCGATTTTTTTTCAAAAAACTCGGTACAGGCTCGAAAAACTCGGTACAGACACTTTTTTGCCTAAAACCGAACCTTCCTCTGCGTACGTTCACTGGATAGAATAAAAGTTCCTTGAAATCAGCTGTTGACGATGTGAATTCATGGCTTGGTTAAACAAAAAATAGCATACCAGGAAATAAATTCTCTTGCACAATCTTCTTAAAATTTTAATAATAATATTTGACTTCCTATAAGGGAGAAAATGACATGAAAATGTTGCACTTCAGAGCCCCATCCGTCTAAACAGAGACGATTAATCATACGGCTTGCTAGTTTTCATAACACTTATTATATAACACAGTAGTATTCCTAGCATAGAAGCATTGAAGCTTGTGAGAAGGTATGCACCGTCTATGGAAGAGTTATTTGATACTTCATCACGAAATTATCTTGATCGGGCACGAATCTTGGCTCAAAAATCAAGTTGGAAACTTCAAAAATTAAATTCGGAAGCACCTGAACTCCGATTTCAGCGAACTTACAGTCAAACTGAGCGTCTCGGAAATACGAACCCAACTATACCAAATTCAACTCAATCCGAGCCAAAATGAGCCCAAATCAAGCGTCCGAAGTGCTGTTGGAAAGCTCGTACCACAATTTGAGTTACCAAACGGTCTCCTATTTTAACGAGCTTATACTCAAATTGAGCGGCTCGACAAGACGAATCCAACGAGCCCAAGATCTCCAAATTCCGACATCACTAAGGCCTTCAAATGTCCAACAAACGGTGCACGATCGAAGGATTCAACATCAACCGTTCATTCGACCACTCCCTATTTGCTCCTAATCTCACACTCATTTACAAGTCATGCCACTCCAGAAAAACTATAAATAGAGCCCTCATTCTTCACAAGGGGGACCCAAGCAAGAAGAAGAAGGGAAGAAGAAGAGAAGGGGAAGAAGAATCAGCTCCTCCTCGACCACTGCCGGAGTTCTTCCCGTTGCCCGAACACGCCGGGATTCGGCCGGATATTCGGGAGAACGCCAGAATTCTGCCTAACTTCCACGTGATCTGGAAATTCTTCTCAATTAAAAACAGAGTTCCCTTCTGACGCCGAAACTCCGCCCAAGTGATGTCGGAGTTCTCCTCATCCACCAATAGACGTCGGACTTCTACTCAACACATAACCTTCACTCTTTGTCAAGTTTCTACCCGACGCTGAACTTCTACCGGTTATAGGACTTTCACTGGACGTATATCTGAAGATGGATTTCTTTCCATTGTTGGACTTCTACCTGACACCGTCTTTCTGACCTTCATGGTCAGACATAGTCTTTCCAGCCTCCGTCGCAAGGCAACTGTCCTCTTGACTTATGTCGCCCGCCAACTACAGTCTTTCCGACCTCTATCGCCCGCCGACTACGGTCCTCCTGACTTACGTCGCCCGCCGACTACAGTCCTTCCGACCTCCGTCGCTAGCCGACTACGGTCCTCCTGACTTACGTCGCCCACCGACTACAAGCCTTCCTATCTCC